CCTCTTATACTATATATACTGCTTACTTATAAGGCTATATATACTTTTTTATTCTTTATATTATATTAAATAGTACCTAGGTAATTAGAAATTTACTAATACTTAGTACTACTAATACTTTTTATTAGTAGAGTACTAAGTAGAAAGATCTATAAATATCTATAGTATAACTCTTAAAGTATTATAAAGTCTAGTCTTAAAAATCCTAAGTATATTTATTAGTAAGTTCCTTATCTTAAATTATACTATTCTAGTAACTTATTTATTAATTATTATCTTTATAAATTAGTTAGGAGTAGGTCCTTCCTTAGACGTCTTGTCTTAAACTAGATTACTATTATTAGTATATTAGTATAGTAAACTATTTATAATTAATAATACTTAATTAATAGATCTATTAAATCTAAAATCCAAATATTTAGATACTATCTTATCCACCTTATTTTATTAAGTTCTTAGATTTCTAGTTATCTAAGTAATATTATTAAGTTAACCTTAAATATATTCCTTAATATTCTAAAGTTTCTATATTCCTCGAGTTAGTTTGAGATAATCCGGATTATCTTCTATATTATTATTAAGGTTTTAATTACTTAGTTTAAGTACTTAACTTAAACTACGTTTAGTTAGTAAATAGTCTCCTTTACTTAGCTAAGGTAAGAAACTGTCTAGATTACTAGTAGTAGTATCTACTATCGTTTAAAAAGATAATATAACTACTCTACTATCTCTAGTATTTATAGTATATTTTTAGAAGGTAGCTAAGGTAGTATAGTAGTATTCTAGTATTTTATATTAGTAGAGTTATTAAGTATTTTTAGCTTATTTATAGTAGAAATAGCTTCGTAAACAAAGTCTCGAAAGTATTGTAAGTCTCTAATCTATACGCGTATAACACTAATCAGTATTAGTTTAACTTATTATTAAATATAAGAGGTATAATATAGGAAGAGGCTAACCCTTAGTATTAGACTATTTCTATTAATAATATATACCGAGTTAAAGGTATAGAAGTTATACCGCTATAATATAGGCAGCACTAGCCTAGTTAGGTGGTCCGTGCTACCGAGTATATTTACTCGGATATTATAGCGATAAATATATAAATTTATACTCTATTATAGCTAAAAGCTAACTATTTCCCTATTATCCTCTCGCTAAACACGTCGCTATAATATATTATATAACTACTAAAGTTATTTTAAAATTATATCTACTCTTCTACTATCTAGCTCTAAGTACTTACTCTTTCCCCCCACTATAAACTAAATAACCCGCTTTATTTAAGTAGGAATTCAAGTATAAGGTACTATACCCGACGTACCTATAAAAGATAATTATAACTATCTAAGCTAAGCCTATAAGTATACAAAGTAAGCTAAGACAAAGAGTCTATCTAACCCTAATACTAGCCTCGTCTACCAGAGGCTATATACAAGTCTCGCATCGTATATTCTAATACCGTTAGGTTAGCTCGACCGAAGAGTATATAGGCAAAACAGAAGAGGGCTCTAAATAAAATATCGTAACACGTATAATTATCTAGTAATAGGAACGTAAGTAAGGGTAGATTATGAGTCTTACCCTCTTCTCCTAGTAGATTTAAAGGAACCCGTACTAGCATCCTCCTTATTTCCTATAAACTAATTCTATTAAAAGTAATAAAAAGAGTATTTACTCTCTACCTTTAAGAGATCTTTTATCAAAATTTGTTATTGTAATACCCTATATAATAATACACTCCCGTAATCTATTAGTAACCTATAACCTGTACGTACAGAGAACCTATTACTAAATATACACTCACCAGTGGGTGACAGAATTCGTGGGACAGCACAACTTCTAAATTACGTAATCAAGAACACTAAAAATTACTACTATTCAAACTTTTATTACCACTTCGCAGTCTTTATAGGCTTCCCACTCGTTTTAACTAGTAATTTACATCGCCGAGGCATATCCGCTATACGGGCACGAACTTCCTCCATTGTAATCTTACTCCATTCGTCCTGAACCACCTCCTTAAGCTCCGCAATTGTATTCCATACTCTCCGACGTATTCTTTGCTTAAGGATATTCCAAAGAGCCTCTATAGGGTTGAGATCTGGGGACTGGGGAGGGTGGACAAGGTTCGTGATCCAATTAGCCCTTTTGAGTACTGATGCAAGGCTATCTGGGTTCTGTATACCATGAGACTTGTCCCCATCTTCCTGAAGAAGCCAACTACTGTTTATACATTCCTCTGTAATCCTTAGGTGTTGAATTGCGTCAATATAAAAAGGAAGAAGGCGTTCTACGTAATAGAGGCCGGTCATGGAGTTCCCTTTTGGCTTAACCTCTTTATCGTGTGCCTCGCATTCAGCCTCCCACTTTAGTATTAACTCTGCATATTCCTCGTCTGTACAGTACTTGGTTTTGCGAGGCTTCCTAGGCTTCCTAGCTTTAATAACTTCATCCTCTTCGTCGTGGTAGAACTGGAGTTTCTCGCATTTGGCATGCCAATTACACCACCCTGCGATGTGTAGCCGTACGCCCCGTTTCTCCCCCCTTTCCTGTATATATTCGGGCTTATAACGCTTCCCTTGCTCACGGAGGTAGAAGTCTTGAACGTTAGAGGTAGGATCAATATGTGCCTCGTCTGTCCAGAGAACCCTACGCCAATGGTTCTCAACTGTCTTGTACTGCCACTTCCTCCCGTATTCTGTCCGTTTCTGCCGGTTTGTATTCGAGGTTTTCTTCTTTACGTACGCAGCCTTATAGCGACGGGCCTTGTTTGTATGCCTGAGCAAAGCGCGCTGTAGAGTGCGGGCGGAACCCTTGATCTTGTGGTATTTCATTTGAGCTTCGTAGTGCTGGTTTTGGACGGGGTTTTTGGCTGGGTTGACAAGGAGTAAACAACTCTCTTTTGAGATAAGACGACGCCTCCCAAGTATATTTGACCTCTTCCGCGTCCGCCGGTATGCTGCAGACCCTGTTTGAGTACGCTCTTTGAGCCATCGTGATGCCGTAGACCTGGTTACTCCCAAATCTGCCCCAATAGCCTTATGTGTTTCTGCGCCGTGCCGGGCGTCCCAGGCCTCGTAAAACCGGGTCTTTTTGGTATTAGTAGCTTCGCGGTGGTGTATTTGACGATCTGGCGTGTCCTCTCTACTGTGTAGGCGTGTTAGTGTCCATTTGAACGGTTTAAAGAGTATGTATTATTAAGGTATGATATCTAAGCATTTTTGGTGTTCTTGATTACGTAATTTAGAAGTTGTGCTGTCCCACGAATTCTGTCACACACTGGTGTGGTGACTCCCTAACACAAACATAATAAACCGCTCCTTAATTTCCACAAACCAAAAAAAAACCCACTTCGATACCTAAATCCCCCAGATTTCGTCCTTCAAGAGAGGATTATCTGCTAGCATACACCACTCAATGACCTTCCTCCTCTTCCGAGCGCTACTCCCAAGACTTCATTCCAATGCTCGTAACAAAATGGTTACCGAGCCCCGGAATGCGTAGTGCAACTATATACGTATATATATATATACGCGCTAAATACTTTCTTTGTAACATCAAACAAAGTTATGTGCTTCTAGACACGGGCTATAGAAAATAGGATTACTTCTATATTCGCTTACTGTACGAGCTACTAGCACTAGCACCAGCGTCATTCCAGGGTGATTTATTAAATACCAACTTGTCCCTTACCCTTACAAAATGAAACATTCTCTCGTTTCAATCTCGCAACAATTTCGAGTTTTCGGGTTAAAGCTCTACTAGTTCAGGAGGTTACAGTAGTACAAGATAACCGCTCGAAGCTAGGGGTCTAGAATAGGAACGATTTCCAAGCTCGAAATTATCTCCTAGTAAGATATCTACACCAACGGAAATTACCTCCAGGTATGACGGTTGGAACGCCAACCCGAGAAAGGGGTTAGCGAGATGGAGAAGTAGGATAGCTAGTACAAGTATGGCAAAGAAATAAACAACATCTTTATATTACTGTAACGTTCGATCTAAGACAATATATCCCAACTCTCTTGACTCACATAAAAGTATATAAATACGTCGCTTACATACCTACACTCGTATATACCTCCCTCTCTGTAGCAACAATCACCATCAAGCGCCTACATTCCCACCCATCAACACCACGAGATCTTTCCACCGACATAATGCTTCCTTCCATATTACCTACCTACCTACCATCTCTTCTCTCTCTCAACGAAAGGCTTATTCAGAAATTCAAAATACCAGTCACGTTCTCAGGTCCTCATCAGGTTTGGAGGATTCTATCCTTGACACTACCTATACAAGAACGAGAATCTCCACTCGACGTATAGAACACAAGGAGACGCTTCAATAGACGGGTATAAGAAGATATCCAACTCCAACGCCAAAGAACCTATTCCATTACCATCTACAACTACATCTATATCCACACCATCCCCTCCAATGACTTGCAATTACTGTACTTGCAATCACTTACACTCCGAAACACCTTACTATACAATCCAATACCCACACTCCCTACACTCCCTACACTCCCTACACTCCCTACACTCCCTACATCACTTACACCACACCACACCACCATGCCAAAGAAAAACCCCCAACCCAGGGAAGAAATCCCCACCAAAAGAAAGAAACATGGATAGATAAAACCACCACGAGCAATATACACGATCCTAACTCGAAGACGGATAATAGAGCGCAGATACTCAAGACTACTCATACTCATACTCAAACTCATCTTCTCAAGTAAAAAAAGACCGTTGAGATGAGAAAAGGAAGAAAGATGGAACAAAATCAAGCCATCATTCAAAGAAATCTCTAATTCGTTGGAGGATTATGCATCCCAACCTATCTTCATACCCATCCATACCCATATCCCATTCCATTCCCCCTATCCCCAGATCCCCAACCTAATCCTAGAACATACCATACCCTTCCATTTATTTTCATTCATCTACTTTGTGAAAAGAAACGGGGTTTCTGGGCTTTTACTCTGCTTGCGCACACCACCATCGCCAACCCTCTCCTCTAAGCGGAACCAATGAATTGACCTCCCTCCCAAGTCTCCCCAGCCTCCAACTTCTGATATCCCTTCACGGCCCCCGCCTCAACACAAATCATATTCTTATACCCATCCGCCGGCGCGAAATCCCCGATACTCTTGCAATCAGTCCAAGGATTCCAAACGACGACCTCATTCAAATTATCCCTCACGATACCGAACGCCTTCTTCCCATCTTCGAGAACGGCAACAGGTGCAGAAGGTCCACCAGCGGGGGTATACACACGATCAGTTTTATCCGTGATAGTGACTGGCGCGTCGGGAGAAGTAGTGGTGCTAATCGGGGAAGCGACTTTATCGACGTACGATGATGATTCGAGGCCTGTGACTGAGACTTTGGAGATATCCTATCCATATATCGTCAGTAAAAATTGGGACCGCAAATCACCCACTTCCAAGACCCAAGACCATGCCAAGAATATAGCTACAAAGGAGGGGAAGAAAACTCACGGCAACTCTCAGATAACTATGCATCAAGATCTGGAAATCCCAAGCACTATCACCCTCATTCCTAACCACCATACTAGTAGCCAATCCATCCTTTCCCAGAGTCACGCTGTAAATGAGTCCAAACTGGTAACTCCAAGCTGCCTTACTCTCCTCACTCAAATTATTGGAGCTGAGTCCGAAATCCAACTTGACACTGCTATCACCGCCATCTTTGCTTTCTGTCGACTCGGATGTAGATTTACCTAGAAACTCCCAAGTAGACGTACGTGCGAAGCCGTGTTGAGGGAGTTTAGCCGTGGCCGCGTGAGATGGATCAGTGCCAAAGACCTATGCGAAACAATTAGTATCTTCCATACTCATCCACATCCATACAATCACCATGAACCGGGCAGAAGAGAAAGAAACGCTAAACACATACAGGGAAAACAAGTGGAATCCCCCCTCTAACCGCCTTTCCCCCATCAAGCACGGCCTTCTCACTCAGCCAAAGCTTCTCCTCCCCTTTGGCATTCTTCCAACTCGTAATCGTCGCTCCATACAACAAGATCTCAACCGATTCTCCGGTAGGCAGAACGGCTGAGACAACAGAGTTGGAGTGCGAGATGTTGACCTGTGCTTGAGGAGCAAGTCCAGGGGTGGCCGAGAGGGCAGAGGGCTTTTTGGGACGGTCGACCATGGTTAATTAAGAGGATTGTAGAGCTGAGGTTCAAGTTGTGCGATGTAGTTGGGATGTGGTAGAGGTGAATTGGGAGAAGCTACCCTTAAGAAGTTAAGGTTCGAGTTGATTGCGGGGAAGAAGCGAAAGCGGCTTCGGGTTGGAAGGTTTGTTGGGGGCGAAGGGCGAACGAGAAGACTGGACAAAGATATGAGGTATGCGGAATCAAGAGGCGGATCGTGATTCGTAGGTGTAAGTGGTTGTCTTTTGAGCTGAGCTGAGGGCGAAAGGGAGGGGAGGAATGTCAAAGGGCAACGACCTCGCGGGGTAAGCTTCTGAAACACTGCCCAGAGTCACGTGGAGGGGCATGTCTCCAGATCTACTCGTGTACGAGTGCCAGTACTAGAATACATCTTAATATGCACCACCAACCCAACCAGGATCCCCACATCAAACCAATACACAAGACCAACACATAAATACAAAACCCACGTATCACCACACCTCGCCCTCTCACTCACCAGTCACACCCCAAGCACTATAAACTGAAACATCCAACGCCACACCAAGACCCTCACATCAGCCAATACAAGAGACACTCAAGCACACGGGACACAACTGAAAGAAGCACTGGCGGCAAGAATTCTCTGGATGTGTTGATTCTCATCTCCAAAAACCCTTCACATTACGTACGCGAAGGCAGATGATATCTACATCTCCTTCATTCATTACTCATCCCATACTCATGCATGTATCTTTTTTCATTCTCCCTTCATGCCCTCGCCAGGAACAAACATAAGAAAAATGAAAGAACTATTGCAAATGCCAAACTCCAATCGCAATGCAGTGCAATGCCAAATGCCCCGAGAATCACAATCCCACCTGACGCCCTCGTCTCGCTGCCCCATATAGTTTTTCCTTTGCATCCATAAACAAATTCTCAATCTTGTTCACCTGATCTTTGGACAACTCCGACATGTCCAAATTTCCTATTAAGTTCATCATTTGTAGTTCTACATTTTTGAATGTAGCTTTGTCCTTGGAGATCGCAGGTGAACCACCAGAAAGCCCTGGGAGAGCTTCTTCGGCTGCGTTTTCCTTCGTTGGCTGTTGTGAAGCCTGTCTCGCTGCACTTCCGCTCGCCTCCGCCTCCTCATTACCGCCAATTGATCCCTCAGCCGTCTCGGCTTCTGGAGATGGTGAAGATGGAATAACCTTTTCTCGTCCCTTTTCCTCTCTCCTGCGACCGGTGGCTTTCTCGGGCTGTTGAAAGCTCATTGGACGACCTTCCATTACCTTATTGCCTCGTGATTTGCTGTTGCTTGGCGTTACAATGTCAAATCCCAAATCAGGGGGGGCGTCAAGATCTATTGAAGGAGTTCGAAGATTCTTGGCTAGTCTTTCACTTTGAGTTGCTTCCGGGAACTGAATCGCTTCTCGTGACGGTGTTGGTGATACCTTATTTTCAAGAGATTTTCTCGGTCGCCCTCTCTTTTTCTTCAACATCGACTCTATTGGAGATACTTTGGGGGATGGGACTGTTATATATATCAGAGATGGATCTTCCAACAATCGATCCGCGGAAAACTTACAGGTAGCCAGAACCTGCTGGGTCTCGGGAATCTCACTGGCATCCCCCAAAACTCCATCGCCCTTATCAAACCCAGCAAACAAAGATTCTCGTCTCCGCGATGATCTTCTACTCACAGAACCTCTGTCCATATTCTCGAACGCGGAAACATCAACAACAATGGTTTCATTGACTTCCGCTTCAATACCAGACTCTTCTGGATTTGAGTTCTTTTTCGGAATGTTCATGGAATTAGTAGATAGTGTATCTGGTACGATAGGCTCGACAGATGTCGGCTTATTGAGGATATCGGATTTCGATTCATGGCCGTTTGTGGGATTTCCAGGCTCCTTAGCTGCCGCATTCGCTAATGCTGTCTTGTGAATTGATCTCGGAGCGGGAGAATTGATTGAAACATCTTGCAGCGTATTCCTTCTGGAAGATGATCGAGTTGCGCGACGCGGACTCTCTGTTCCTGGGATTGTGGAAACGGGTGGCTGATGGTTTGCATCAAAAGTTTGCATCATTCGAATTAGACTTGACTCGTCCATACTTTCATCTGCATCGACGCTTCTCGAGTCACTCCTCGGCTGCTGCTTATAGTGACCCCGTCGAAGCACATTAGATCGCGGTGATGCACGAGTGTCCTCAAAGAAATCTTCATTAGGAGCCAATTTATCAGAAGATACTGGAGATGACCGCGCGTCGACAAAAGGAGGCGAGGTAGAACTACGATGAGATGACTTGGGAATTTCGGTTCGCGTCGGAGTCGAAGGGCGGAGAGCTTCATCAATTTCCATTGGGAGAACTTGATCCATATCAGCATTGTCTTCTGATGGAAAATCTGCATCCTCCATAATGGAATCTTGAAGTGCTTCCTCGTCGACTCTCGCAAAGTTCGGATTCGTGGAACCTGCATCGTAGGTTGTATCATGGTTTTGACTAGCTTCAGTTGACTGGTACGTCGACATGGCATATTCTGGAAGCACTGCATAAGTTTGGACCTGGGCGGATGGGACTTCAACAGATGACATAGGTCCATGTATTTTGCGACCCGGAATTTCTGGTGGAGACGATGGGACTTCTTCAACAGAAGATATCTCAATCTGGGGAACAGGTTCATCCTTCTCCGGCACTGGTACTATTAGTGATGGAGACCCACCACCAGAACGCCCAGAAGCAGCAAGTCGACTCGAACGTTTCGGAGTAGGAGAAGAAATAATAAAGGTATCGTCCTCACTAGGGGGTAGAGGCGTTGGCGTAGTTTGTCGTATTTCAACTCTAGGCGATCGACTTTTCCCGGGTTTTGATGACGACCGACGAGGAGGCAATTGAGGTTCTGCCTCAATTTCCATTTTTGCTGTTGCTTGAAAATCGGGACTAGTTTTGAGATCCGGAAACATGGCAGCATCTGCTATTTGTCGCTCTTTGACCTCCTTCTGCCTATCTGTTAGAAGTTGGGATGTAGAAGTAGCTCCATTAGCAACGGGCGAGGATTCGATGGCTTGGAATTGCACTTGAGAATCATCGTGCCGTAATTTGGACGTGCTTTGACGTCTGCGTGATTTCCTCCTGCCACTCATCTCAGGGGTGTCTTCTCGTGGGCGCTTTCGACGAGAGGCAGTGCTCATCTGAATTACAACTTCGGGCGTAGTTTCACGCATCTTTCGAATCATAGGTGACGACCCATTTTGTGGTGTTCGATGATTCTTCATCACAAACTCCATGCTTGTGGTTGGGAGAAATGCACTATCTTCCTGTGTCTCTGCGTACTGCATAGGTTCCTGTGCATATGCCTCCGCCTCACTCAAAACGCTTTCAGGAATGAACGGTAGCTGTATGTCTGCGACAGCGTGGATTCTCAAAAGAGAGGCCTGAGCTCGCTCGGTATACTCAAAAGCTTCTTCAGATACGCCAAAAGTAGTATTCCACATTTTGACGGCTCGAATAGCAATTGACTTGTGGGTACTGTCAATCCCCGCGCAGATCAATGCTTCGAGCTCAGCAAGGATTTTGCTGCAACCATAAAGCTCCTCAAATCTGGGGATAAGATTACAAAATGCATCCCAGAAGGAATTGATCTAATATTGTTAGAAGATTTCAGCAAGACGGGATTTTATAGCTTACCGATTTGGATAAAGGATTGCCACTGCCAATCTTCCTTTCTGTATCAACCACCCAATGGGATACACCTTCTTGTATCTTAACAAGAGATCCAAATATCAATTCTGCGGGGCAGAGGCCCATAAATTCGGTCGTGATAGCAATCATATCGGAGCAGTCGGCTAGTTGAGTTTTGTCAAAATTGGTGTAGCTGAAGACCATGGTCGTCTTAATGTATTCATAAAGTTTGACAAACGGATCGAAGGTCAGAAGCTTCGGTCCTGCCATTGCACTACCCCATAAGTGTTTCCTTGCGGCATCAAGTGCCTGTTGATTCTTTGGATATCCAACCTTTGAAACGAGTAGACTGTAGTAGGATATACCAATGGTGCCTGTTGAGTTCTGTTGGTGGAGTAATAGGCATTTCGCAACTGGCTCTAGAACTACAATAGCCTTGCCTGAAATTCCCGAGTCGACGGTAGCTGATGAAGCCAAAGCGTCAAATAAAGTCTTCCAACCTGCAAGGGCCTCTTGAGGCGAGTACCGAATTCCAGCATCAAGAATCTTGACTACACTCTGGTAGTATTTACCTAGTGGTTGGTCGGGATTCTCAATCTTTTCGGAGTCTCTGATTTCGACAGCAGTTGTGACAAAGTCTGCAATAACCTCCCAAAGCCCCTTGGTTGAAGGGGTACTTTCTGTAGGTAAAAGTGATAATAAGTCGGTCGCTAATTTGATACACTCTAGCCGATTGGATTGTTGCGCTTCGAAAAAGGGTAGAAGGATAGAATAAGCCATATGTATGAAGTCGTCGTCGCACACCAAATTGGGCAAGTCGGTTGCTAACAAGCAAAAGAGGTGGTGAAGAGGCTTTCTGATCTCTCCTTTTAATCTATCTGGCCGCTGTGAAGGTGTGGCGACTGGAATGAATGTGTCCTGTGTCCCAATACAAAGGTCTCGTTGAGTAAATGGGAGAATGCCTAGTCCATTGGTAGTTGCAGTGATTGTTGTGACCATTTTTTCGAAGGATTTCAGAAATTGCGCGTTTGATGGACCAAGTTTAGCTGGCAACGCTCCAATATTGTTCGGTCCAGCTCGCCACGTCTTGTAGAAGAGCTCGAATATCGATGCCAAACATGACATTGTATCATTTGAGACCTTGACTTCCATTTTAGCCGGGAAAGAAATCCATCGAACGTATGTGACCCATAGTTTGAATATCTCCGAGTCATCACCGAGTTCCAGAAACAACTTGTGGATGATGGGAACAAGTACAGGGAAAATCCGGGTCGAATTTCTTCTTAGCCACTTCGGGTCAAGAGCAGGAAGTTCTTTCGCAGCAACACTGCTCTCCTTGTAATTCGCCATCACCCGATTCTCATTCCAAGGACGCTGAAATCCCGAGTCGAAAAGATTTTGCAAAATGCTACAAGCTTCTAGGAGGTCCTCCTTCGCTTGCGGATCAGTCATATTGGTTGGCGTCAAACATTGGCCAATAATGGATACCACATAACTATCCCAAAAGAAATCCAGTTGAGGGGGCGTGGTGTTTGGTTTGAGTGTATAGTAGAGCAGATTACAAACACTTCCGATGGCAGTTTTCCTAGTCCTGTTGGATCTTCGCAATTTAAGTTGCCCTAGTAAAGGCTGAGCAAGCATGTTGATTAAACTCTTTTTGGTATTCTCGTCGGGTTGAATGGCTACCACGAAACGATTCCAGGCATAGTTGGCTTCTATTCTCGTGGAAGTATCTCCTGAGTTGAAACACAATTGGAAAACTGCCAAATAAGATGTCAAATGAGACCATTGCTCCAACTGCCGAGGTTTCCCGCGAAGGAAAAGAAAGATAATACTGCATATCTGAGGTACGCACGTCATCATCTCTTCCTTCTTCTGAACCGCAGTCTTGAGTTTCTCGCTGTAAAAAATTGCGAATTTGCCACCTCCTTCCTGCTCGATCTGGAACAGGTTGGTTACCGCACGAGAGACTTTGCTTTCATTTCCAAGGCTGTATGAAGATTCCAGTCCAAAGGCAATGGCCAAAGTTCGGATTTCCTTGACATTGCTCATCATGTCTGCAAAAAGATCCTCCAACCAGAGGGGGTGAGTAATCATATGTATCCGGGATTGTCGAAGTAAATTCCTATAGATGTTGATCCTGCCCATGACAATGCTCTTCCCCTTCACAAAACTCTCGATGGTGTGCAGATTCTCGATCAGCCTTCCGACTCGTTCGGCAGTCATCACTTTTGGTGAAAACTTCAGTTGTGACAGCCCGAATGCAAGATGCTTGACGATATCCTTGGACATGCTGGGATCCTCGAATGTATTGGTAGCATGCTCGATCATAAAAACACCAAAGTCGCCTCCAATAGTTCCTGCGATGTCTGACAGACTTAGTAAGCTCGACAAGAGCTGTAAAGCGTTGATGACAAGAGGTGTATCCGGTCTCCCATTTTCCGCTTTTTCCTTCACATCTCGAGTAATGAATTGCAGCAGAAGGCTCATCTTTTCCCTGAGAGCTATCGGGTCCGGGAGAGATGCCGAAGCTTTCAAAGATCCAGCCAGCATCAAGTATGCATCCATCTTTCCCCCTCTGTCCTTGCCCGCTAATTGCTGCACAATGGATTCCAGCATGGCAGCAAAATTTTTGTGTTGGTGGGGAGGAAGTAGTGGGCTGTTGACCTCTAGGCTGTCTTGTCCGCCATTGTGTGCTTTGAGTATCGACTTCGTGGGCTTTCGTTCGGCAGATGGCGTGAGAGTGTGGACGGTCGCCTGTGGTTTCCCGTCCAACGATGCTCTTGGGTCGTCACTATATTGTGTAGAATTGGACCACCCAACCTTCTTCCGTGCCGTGAGAGATGTACTGGGAGAGGCAGCTGGTGATTCGGCAGAAGACTCGGGTGTGATATAGGTCAATGAGTTTCTTTTGGAGGCCGAGTCACCGAGAAAGAATCTTTTGATAAAATTCCCTTTGCTTTCGTTTCGATTCGACTCTCGAGGAGATGTAGGAGGTCGAACTGGGAGGGTAGGCTGTAATGTCCCCACTGACGCTGGCTCTACCATGGCTGCAAGCTCGAGGGCAGTCTGGGATGTTTACCTTCATCGAGAGTCGCTTCTCATTTGTTCCTAGTCCATGATCGCGTGGTGCGTGTGCTGGGAGGCTGAGATGACTCGTTGGCGACTTTTGGGGAGATGGTGAATTTCCGTGATACCGCAACGCGGAACGGGAACGCGAAATCCAGCCAGCCAGCCAGCACACGCGCCAAACCACTTTAACTCAGGGTCTCGGTTAAATCTCCGGCCCGCTGGGCAGCTGCAGTACGGATATGGATCGCTACCGGTACCCTTTTGCATCTGCACTACGAGTACCACCTCTACACTACTCGAGTACCAGTATTACTACTCTGGGTTCAATTCAATTACTCGAAACTCGGTTACACAACGTTCTTTTTCAAATCTTTGGGATCGGCGGGGGCAAATTGCTAATGTGGCACGTGACCGTATTTCAGTCTCTCATTGCCCTGAGGTCATAAGGACCAACCTTCCAACCGTATCCCAACAACTATGTTTGTGTATATCTTCATCTGTCAACACATCTCTCTTTCTGAAGTGCCTTGTTGCGTTTACTGACCTATATATTATCCTCTGTGAAATCATTCCTTGGGTTTTTGCAAGCAAAATGATGACCGATTCTGTTAGTAGGTCGTAAGCGACAATTCACGGCAAACTCGTCTTGCGTTCCTGGGACCATTCAAGTGTCTGTTCCAGATATCAAAAGTATTTGACATCATCTTTGCGTGATGGAGAGACTGGTGAATGGTTTGAAGTGAAGTTGCTGAAATAAAGTTCTTAGTGGAGGCTGTGCATCCGATAGGTCAGTGTCAGCTCAAAAGCCTTGGAAGTTGGTCCACCTGAAACCTCTCACTATCAAATTCATCATCTCCTCGATTACAACACAAAATTCATCATCACGATTATTAATTCTCATCTTCAAGCAGAATACTCAGTCTAAACCTCGTGCTTTCGCAATGTCTCTCGCCTCACGTCTGGCCGATCTGAATCCATTCTCCTCAGATGATCCAAATGATGACGAGGATTACGGAGAGCAAGTAGGCAATACAACCGTGGCTGGAGGTGGTCATAGTACACGAACCAACCTCACAAAGACCCAACTCCGTGTCAGTTCTACACTTCAAAACTTTCTTGCCAAAGAGAATATTGTCTTGGACAAAAACCCGCGAGATGGCCTGTACGATGCAGACTACCTCGAGCAACAAGTTTGCGCTCTCCTCGACCAACCTCATATTGAGGTCCCATCCCACGTAACGGACAGATCTCATCCGTTGCCTGAGTATTTCATCAGCTCATCTCATAACACCTATTTGATGGCCCATCAACTCTTCGGTGACTCTTCGGCTGAAGCATACGAGACTGTTCTCAACGCCGGTGCTCGTTGCGTCGAAATCGATGCATGGGACAACGAGGAAGATAAAGAAGAACCAAAAGTTACTCATGGCTACACACTCGTATCCCACATTCCATTCCGTGGTGTTTGTGAAATCATCCGGGATTGCGTTGATAAAGAAGCCACCGAGTCTGTGAATCAACAAGGGTACCGAGCAGCACCCATTCTCTTATCCCTGGAGAATCACTGTAATCCAAAGGGCCAGCTTCGGCTCGTTCAAATTATGAGGGAAGTATGGGGAAGCCGACTTCTCAGCAAAGCCGTAAGAGATTGGGGCACGGAAGAACAGCAAGGAGGAGCACATGTGACTCTCGATGAACTTGGATCCAAAATTGCAGTCATCGTCGAACACCACTGGGATACTGGTGATAGTGTCGAGGAAGATAGTTGCAGCGATAGAGAAGAAGACGATGAGCAGAAACAAGCAAATACAGCATACAAAGCCAAAAGAAAGGAAACCGCCAACGTCGGCATCATCCCCGAGCTGGCTGAAATAGGTGTTTATGCTCAGTCCGTAAAACCCATCGATAATTCATGGTATGAAGCAGAGCTCACAAACGGGCCGCATCACCACCTCATCAATGTTTCAGAGTCTGGATTGAAAGCTCACATGCCAGCACAGAGTGCAAGAATAGCTGCGCACAACGCACACCATCTCATGCGCGTCTTTCCCAAAGGCACTCGAATATCCTCCAAGAATCTCAAACCCGTCCATTTCTGGGGCATTGGTGCTCAAATCTGTGCTCTCAACTGGCAAACATTTGGCGCTAGCATGCAAATTAACGAGGCTCTCTTCAGCGGATCCGACGGCTACGTATTAAAACCAGCAGCCTTACGAGCCGGTGGCAACGGACAATTAAGCACCGGCAAGAAAGCAAAGTTACGCCTCCACATTGCAGGAGCTTCGGACGTCCCCGTTCCAGAAGGTCGAGACGACGATGAAATCAAGCCATACGTTACCTGTATCCTCATTCATCCCGATAACATCGATGAAGACCCTCCCAAACGCAAGACGGCCGCTTACAAACACCATACACTTGGTCTGCTCCATCGAGGCGATAATTCTCCTGCGACAGATCCGGTCTGGCATGAACATCTTGAATGGGAATATGATGATAATGAATTGGTTTTCCTAAGGATTCTGATCAAGAGCGATGATAGCTTTGCGAAGAACTCTATGTTGGCCGTTACGGCTGTGAGGCTTTCGTATGTTACTACGGGGTGGAGATTCATTCGTATGCTGGATCTTAAGGGGCAGGAGACTAAGTGCTCGTTATTGGTTAGGTTTGAGATTGCGAATGCATGATGAGTGATGGTTTTATGATATGATGGCGAATTTTGGGGGTTTCTTTGGGCTATGTTCAGTACTGTATGTACTTACTGTGGTATTCTATCTTCATGGCTCTAAGCCAATTTTTTTATTATCCAGTTTCTCTACTGTCTCAACAAAGTCAGTCTACACTTATTTCTTCACATCTCACTCTCACTTCGATCCACCTGTAGACCTCTTACACCTTCATATTCTGATGACATGCAACTATAGGGGAAGTCAACACGCTTAAGGGGCCTTATCAGGTCATTCAATACCACTAATTAAGTAAATACCATCCACAGCCCCTATCCAACGTCTCGCTTACCAATTACCCACCAATCCCAACCCCAAACCATCCATCATCAAACAAAAACCCCCTCAAACCCTCTCCTTCCCATCAAATACCAAAGACCCCAGCCTTCCCTCAAACAGGAACCTCCCTAACCCTCGCACTACTCGAATCACTCCCCTTATCCCCACCCACAACCCCCACACTCTCACCCTCCCCCTCACCCTCCCCAATAAACCTCCCCACCTCATCATGAGTCTCATCCCACCGCGCCAACTCGGCATCCGGAACCTTCACCAGCCGATTCATCGCCGCGCCACCATCTAGATCGACGAGTTCTTGTCGGATGTTGTATTTCCCCCATTTGGGGAGGATATAGACCCAGAATGCGTAGTAGACGCCACAGAGTAGGATACTATATTTATCAGTCTCTCGCTCTTCCTTGCACATCATACATCTCCGCCGTAAAAAATTGGGGTATTATGATAGGGATAGGAAAGGGAGGACTCACATAGCAATCCCAACAACAATATACGTCCCATACCAAAAACTCACATCCGCATCCCCCTCATTGGGCGGATACCAAGGCATCACCAGGATAAACAGATTCGACAGGATATTAAACACAACCACCACATCCCAAGCGCGGAACTCGGATGGACCCAGCGAGAGCTTTGCGCGTCGGTGCCGGACTATGAAGAGCCCTGCGGCCATGGTGACGTTGAAGAAGGCGGTGGGGTAGGAGCCGAGATTTACGGCTGGATGATGTTAGATGGAGGATAAGGAGGGGGGGAGGGGAAAGAGAGATACCGAAGTTGAAGGCGTCGCCCGCCGGGGGTGCGACGATCATTATTACTGTTGTTACCCATTTTACGAGGTACGGACCCCAGGGGGTGCCGAAGGGTTTGGTGCTCGCCCAGAAGCGGGGGTAGGGGAGGACGCCTTGTCTATTCTCGTTGTATTAGTTTCTTTCCCATATCTTTCCTTCCGCAATTTCACATTCTGTGAGGAGAATAGGCAGGAAGTGAGGACTTACCGTCCACATTCTCGAATCAAGCGAGATGTTCCGAGGAGGACGGCGAGTAAATTTCCAAATGACGAGAGCGCAATCAGGAAGTTGAGACCGCGGACGGCACCACCGTTTCCGAAGACTTTTTGGAAGAAGAGGGATGCTACGATTTGGGTGGAGGCTTTGAGTTCGGATTTGGGAACTAGATGGGATGATAAGTTTCGTGTATTCACAACTATGAGCCGGGGAAGGGGGAACATACCAGCGGCCATATAAGCGATATTAGCGAATTCATACAAAACCGCCACTCTACATCCACACATCCCGTCAGTCATCTTCCCAAATTCTCAAGTCTCACTGATATTTACGCTGGTTTACGGAATACTCACACGAATAACGCAACGAACGAACTCTGCTTAATAGTCTTCACCGGATTCTTCACCTCGTTCACAACATTAAACGCGTTTTCATAGCCGGTGTACGAGAAGATGATCTTGACTAGTGCGTTGGTGAGACCGTACGCTTCGTTGCTGGTTCCTTCGAATGCGTTTTGGAAGTTTGCGGTGGGGTTTTCGACACGGGTGTGGCCGCCGAGGACGACGAGGCCGGTTATGGCGACGCTATTGGAGTTAGAAGGTTGGAATGGATGGATGTGGAGATGGGGAAGGGGAAGGGGAAAGGGGAAAGGGCGTACAAGATTAGGGTGAGGAGTTTGATGGCTCCAATGCCGTTGGAGAGCCAGTAGGAGGCTCGGGTGTGGAACATTAGGACTGGGGTTTTGGTAGGTAAGTAAGTTTTGGATGTTGGAGGGGGAGAAAAGGTCTTACGGAGAACTGCTACAGTGTATCCTGAATTTTCAAAGTTAGTCTCGCCATCTGACTTTCACAGTCACGCGGTTCAAACTAACCAGCAATAGCAACCTAAAAACAGTGAGCTTCCATTCAAAATAAATCAACAGGTACCCCCAAAAGAAAACAAATCACTCACCCCCTTCAACTCCCAATCACTTGGCACATGCCCATTAATCCTAAACAAATACCTCGCCAAAACTACACTTCCATCAGCTCCTTCTCCTTCTTTTCCCTCCCCCCTCATCTCTCTGAAGAAACTCACCAATAGCATTACTACTACTAAAACTCAAAATGACAGTCTGAAACGCAAAAGCCGTAGGAAAAAGATACTTCGGCCGCGGATACGCCTGCTCCAAATACACCACCTCACTGCCCGATCGATTCGGGAAATACGAAGCGTACTCCAGATACACGCCCAGCGAACTGCCCGCGATCAGGAACCCGAGGAACCAGTAGATTAATGCTAGACCGATGGAACCGGTTCCGGTCAGGACGGAGGCGGGTGTGGAATACACGCCTGTTCCTACCATTTTGGATCTGGGGGGTGTTAGGCATGTGAAGATGAGAGGGGGGGAAGAGGTACAGGTTTAGGAAGAGAATCGTTATAGGTCCTACTGCGTAGCCTAGTGGTGAGGACGTCTCGACTGGTGCGCCGGATGCTTCTTGATATGAGGGTTGCGAATCATTCCCTCCCTGCTCAACTGTGAATTTCAATCCTCCATCTCTGATAACCTCGCCTTGATACACATTTGCACCCGTCGTCGTAGCCTCCGCACCACTCCCCTTCTTACCACCGAAGCGACGTAGAAACGAAGACATCCTGTTTTAAACCCCTGAATCCCAAAATCGTAGACAAACCAAAGGGGATCGGGAATTGCGGGCTGGACCTAAAGATAAGTAAAGATAAATACCCAATGTTTTTATTTTCCTCAACTTTATTCAAAGAAACTGACCCACATCCTGACAACCGAGGGATGACCCCATTTCCTAATCCTCGCATCCGATTGCACCATGCCCGCCATCAACCTCTCCCGTGTGGATGTGTGACATCCCCAAGTCTGGGCGGTACCAAGAGACTTGTCAACTTCCAGATCCGGATCCGCTTGGCGAGACCAAGTTGCTGATTATGCGGTGTAACACATCGCCATTGTGGCTTGATATGTGTTCTTGCATCTTCACTCTTGAAGATCTATTGGTTGAAAGAGAGAACTTTTAAATGGGAACTTGTGATGGTATTGCTGATAGAAGCGATTGAGCGATTGTTTTGTCACTCCCGCCTTCAAAGAAAAGGTTATTTTTCCTGATACAGTAGAAAGATATGTGGATAACTTCTTGTATTGATGACCATTGGCCCAACTTGTCCCGAAGGACGCTGAGAATTTGCTCAATTGTACATATAACCACTCCCCTGTTCCATGGCCAGTCCACCCACTACAGTGCAATCCCGATATAACCATATGATCAGGCTAGGCACGGGGTTTTTTTTTTTTGAGATGCTAAACGAGGATAACCTGACTTATAGCGAGTTCCTTTTACAAAGTAGATTAGATTCGAAGAGTTTTCAAGGAACGAATGACTTAAGAATTCAAACGAGGTTATGCATGTATCAACGTTGTTGAAAAGAATACCCGGTCGAACCAGCTTGGGAAGATTAGCGTTATGGTTACGGGCGATGGCATGGCAAATGCTTGATTTGGGTCGCTCGCTTGGGGGATTCTTATTTGATAGACACATTGATAAAGAAGTGCTTGTTCGTCTGAAAACCACATGCTGGTTTTGATGTCGTGCGTAAATATACTTTGGAGTGTTTGCTCCGAGATTCCGAATTGATTGCGAGGGAATACTCTTAGGAAAGAAAATCACGAGGAATAACAACATGAAGAGGATATTACTGTAGCGGCCTAGCTGGGTGGGAACTCTCTGGCTAGAAAAACTTGAAAATGAGATTTTGAAGGTATCGTCGTTTGCGCTGTACTCGTAGCGCATTTATATCAGCCAAGCGACTCCATCCCCACCTCATGGGCAGCAAAGAAGACGAGAATCCACGCATATCATATCTCACATCCCACACCTCACATCTCACCAACCCCCATCCCACTCTATTTCTCCTTCTCATCACCTTCTTTCTTACCCGTCCCCTGACTCGAACTTCTAATCCTCGGTTCCAGTGGAAATACCTGATTCTCCGCTGTAACACCCTCATAAAGCTGACTCCAACGCTCTTTCCACGCCTCTGGAGTAGGCCACGCATGTTCCGGGTCTCGAAGCCACAAGCGTATTAAATGTCGTCTAAAGATGGTAAGCGGTAGCTCAGAAAAGAATAATGGAGAACAGATCCAAGTTGTCAGATTAGGAAATTGTACGTAAGACTTACTGTTGTTCAGGAGTATCTCTAAAGCCATCACGGGCGTGAAAAACGGCGAGGTTGTTGACGTATTGGATATCTCCTTGCTGAACATCTAATCCGATGTGGTATTTCTCACCAAGAAAGTCTTTTGTAAGAACGAGTTAGTCGCTGTGAAGGATTTGATAAGGGAATTTACGTACGCAATCCATCTAACGCTTCAGCTTGTGCTTCAGTGATGGCAGGAATATTTGGGGATCGCGGGAGCCCGTGATATCCAGTGAAATATCGTCGAGCATAATTCAGAAGAACTCGCTCTGGGGTCCCTTCTGAAGCTGGTTGGTGAACCAATAGAGGTTTCGAAATGATTGGTGTCTCTTTTATTCTCAAAACTGAGGTTTTCCATTAGCGATATATTTCATTCAACTATCGAGAAAACAGAAACTTGGCGAGGACTTACTTATGTACCACCCAATCCTCCGAAAGCGTCCGTATCAAATCCGGTCTCTCCTCCGCCAAATAATTATAAACCCTCCACGTACTCGCCAATTTACTCTGGCCCCCCTCCGCCGCACCACTCGACGCAAACAAACTAACAATATCCCCCGCATCGGTATGTAAAACCTGTTTGTCAGCGGTATAAGCCGGTGCTCCAATCAAAGCCTTATCCACCGTCGCGCTCAAGTCCTTGTTGTGGTTCAAGACAATATCCGCAGGCTTTCCATCAATTTTGTTATCTTGACGGCCGCGTTGAGATGCTATGTGCTATGATATGCCGGCGTAGATGATTATATTTTCCTCTCGGCTGTGTTTGGCTACTGGGAGGCCCCGGAGGACTTTGAAGCCATGGCCGGAATGGAGTTCTGTTGAGATGGAGCGGAGAATTGGATGAAGTGTTGGGAGTGGAAAGATTTCTTGGGATATAAAACCCAATGGTATTTTTAAACCTGAAAAGATAAGTCATCATACCGAAAACCCCCAAGACTGGGGCTCCAAAAATAGCACCCCAGGAACCATCAACTAACTTTTGAAATACTGTAACCCACTCTCAACCTCCCCAACCTGCACCTCACTCAACTCATAAATCCACTCATACCTCCCCTCCAGATCCCTTCCCTCCCAAACAAACTCCGATTCAAGTTTCTTCGGAAATCCCTCAGGAAGCGTGACCGCACCCAAGTTCTCACTCTCCAGACGCCGTTTAGTCCTCGCTTGGTACTTTTCGAAATCGGGAGCATAACTGATATCGGGCCTGCCAACCGCCATAGCTATTCAAAACTTCCGATAGAGCCGCGGGATATCGAAGAAAAGGCGTTTTGGTTTGACTGTTTTGAATGTCCTCATGAATAAGTACCTAGGGTCACTTGGTGTTGCACTGCGTGAAGTGGATATTACCGTTGCGATCCTGGCGATGATGCAATTGTTAGCTGCATATTGCGGGGTCGGCATCGCCACACGCTAGATAGAGAACGTCGATTGGTTGATTCTGTACGTGTTGCAATATCGTGCCATCGCAGGAATCTTTTGTGCAATATCATGGGTATATTTCGTGAAGCTTTTGCGAGGCGACTCGACTTGACGTTTTGAAGTGATTCACGCGGAAGTCAAAGCGACCATGAAAAGAAACAATCCAACCATTTTTGGACGTTTCGAAAAACATTCGGGTGTTCTTTTTCCATTAAATACTGTTCACTTACTAGTTCGAGATGTTATATGGGGAAGATCGAGTAAGGCCAAGACACTAATAGAAGGCACGTGGAAGTACAATATGCAGTTGTCCAAGGCATGGTAATTTATACTTATTTAGCTATACCAGGCTATCACTAATTATGAAAAGTCAACGGCGCGATCTCAGGTACAACTCCATCTCGCTCGGTTCACTCGCTTCCACCCGTGCAAAGCCAAGATGGTTTTTCTCAAATCTGTGTCTGGAAGCTTCATCATACGTCCCGTCCTCTCCCACATATATCGTATATGCGATTCGCATAAACTCCTCAAGACGCCCTGGCATTTCCAGCACATTGACATATATCATATGAAGAAGCTTCCAAGCACTAAAGGCGTCATCCGTCATCAATCCCCATCTGAAGACTTCGAGACTGGGTCCAATGAGCGTATACCCTGGTAGTGGAGGACCCGCCAGCATCCGGTACCCAAGAGAAACGAGTGCTCCTGCTGCCATAACTAGGCTTCTGTCATACCAAGGTAGCCTTCCTTCCCATTCCCACAATGTATTGTCTTGTGATGCAATGGCGTAGCAGCAGTCACTGATCCTAAGGTAAGGTTCAGACAATTGAAATCTTGGGACTTCAATTTCTGGTTTGTGATATTTTTCTGAAGCCTTTGCAATCATGGACCAGTCTCTTATGGTATCGTGCGAACCAAATGTCGGAATTTCGTTCAAAGATTCCTGTGCCTCGGCGATTGTAGAAGGTGACTCTTTATGATAGGCGCAAATTGCGCAGTCGCATTCAAAGCCCCAGCGCTTGAGGAGAAATGGGTTTATGTCTTGAGACCTGCTTCTGATATCCCTGTAAGAACAAGTCAACTCCGTATCGGGCGGCATATCACGAAGGGCTCTTATAATCTGGAAGTCGCCAATGAACGACCGTGACACATTGCTATAGCATGAGTGGTTGATTTTTGCTGCCAGAAGCCAAAGACCAGTAGTCTCGTGGTAATACTTCCTCTCTGCGCCGGGAGCTGGGAACTTGTTCTTTTCGGTAGTGAGAGGGCATCCAAAGCAATTCAGAGAAACTACACGTTCAATGAAAAATCTGAAGAGAAGTAGTTAGCACATGATTTCAGCTAGAAAGCGGCGCATATCTTACGTATCGACGACGGTGTTCCCACCAACCTCAGTTATTTCGGCCGGTTCATAACTGCCGCAATGTAACGATGTCAACTTCGATATCAATGAGGGTCTTGCTATACATTTCTGTATGATGTTCGTTATGAGGCCCGCTTGTGTGCCTACAGACATGTGTCTTGTCGCGACATTGGTGATGATACTGGCTCTAGAGCTCTTAGTGGATCGCTCCGCGTTTGTGTCATGATAACAATAAGAGAATGCTTTCTCGCAGAGAAGTAGTTGACCTGCCTTCACATGGATTGTCGTGAATAGGCCTTGACCGCCAAATGGAGAGGACCTCACAGCTACTGGCTCTCTGTAAGTCGCATGATCTAAAAATGGTGGCCTCGCGCGGGTTTCCACGACAGACATAGAGTGCCAATCGTAGACGCCTGCGGTCTTTTCCCGCAATCTGTCTTTGACGCGAGCAACCATCCGTGTATATTTGGGGTCCGGATACCTTTCACGTAACACTCGGAGGTACACAAGACACTCAGAATATCTTTGTAGTTCATACAAAGCTTCACAAGTTTGATATAGTGGCTTTTCCCGCCATCTTACATCTTCGCGTTGGGTGGCGTCCAAAGCAAGTTCAAGACAACCACATTTGAGGTATGCCAATGCACGTTGAACATGGATAATCTGCTCTTGATCGGTTGGAGGATTGCACTCAAGCGCGGATGTATAGCTGAATTCCAAATGAGCTTGATTTGAACACTCACTTTTCTTGAAGGACTCACCATCGAATAGCAGTCCAATACTGCTTCTTGTCCATCGCCTTATCACCTTCTTGTCTATGAATGAAAACCGCAGCTCCATCAATCTGTGATAGCAGGGTACGCCATTGATTGGGAATGAGTTCGTCGCGTAAGCCAAGTAGAACCAAGTCGCTCACATGGTCGACATGTAGTACTGGTCCCTCCGTGGAGCTCCAAATCATGATTCGAGGCTCTTTAATGAGGAATGTATCATTCTTCTTAATGACTGACTCGGCAGGTCTCGAATTTTCATCAGGATAATGCGAGAGATGAATGATGATTGAGGTTCCCTTTTCATCTTCAACGATTGCCTCAATAGTTGATTCTACTCGCAAGGGTGGTGTCGATGCTTTGACAAGAACATATCCACCGCGTTGTGGGACACCGCTTTTCAATTCCTTCAAGTATATCGGCTTCAAGTCGTGTATGCTGGCGGTAGAAGGGTAGTATGGCGATAGAAAATACTCAGGGATAGCCGGTAACAATAGTCGTGGCTTATGCTTCGGCTTCTCCATTGCCCTTGCCCTTGCCCTTGTTTCTTGAAATCTGTGAACGTGCTTCTCTGGGGGGTTCCAGATAGCTGGAATATTGCCTTGATTTGCCAATGCAATTTCCTGCAGCCTCTTGCCGAGTTTCAAATATATTTCGAATTGGGGAAGACTTGATACATCGCAAATATCCATGCTGAAACGCGATAGGCGATAGAGAGTTGAGATCCAAAAAAGAGTATGAAAGCGAGAGTCAACCTGCTGAGAATGAATATGGAATAAAACGCAGGTGTGAGAAGAGAAAGCGTGGCATGGCTCTGAAATGGACGGGAACATTGGAAGAGGAGGAGGAGGAGGAAGGAGCGAACGATGAATCTGGCACGAGATAGTAAACATAGCATCCCCAAGGCACCTCACTGACTTGGAAGTTATCTCCCGAAATTTCATCGTGTATGTGTGTTATGGTGGAGTCGATTACTGAGTGTTGCATGTGTTAAAGAGTAGCTTTCAGAAGATTCATCCAACAGGAGCACAGATCGCCGCCAGAGAAGATTATCATTGACAAAAGTAATCCTGTCTGTTCGGGTACACCAATGTATTAAAAGAATCTCCATTCTTTATACAAGATTTTATGTTTTTTTTTTGATACCAATAATCGATTCCGTCGACGAATTAGGTTGACAGACAGATTGTTGTGGTGGTTATGAAATTTCCCAATTATAGTCACGCCACAACATCACACTTGCTACCCCGGTTCTCCCCGATAGCCCCGAATCTTCACCTCCATGACCTGCACCCCAGCAACCTGTCGGCAGATGGAACATTGCGATGGATGTCACATGGGCACCGGATCCCCGGGTGAATCTCCGTACTGAAGATCTTAGAGCCTCGATCCTGGAATTCCACCAATGACACGTCAACATTATCCGGGTATATACTTGCTCCATAGATAATACCCGTAGCATCCCCTCGTGCCCGCCCTTTATCCACCACCGCAATGAGTTTTTATATTGAACCTCCGTTCTTTATGATGTTTGAATGATCTTCATTCGTGGGAACTCGTGGTATCTGGGATGAACGGCTGATCGGTCTTTACCGTTATCTCCACAGTTTTTCCACTCATTTAGCTCTTTTTACTTGTTGAGATATATACTCTTGAACTCTGCAGTGAATCTTTCTCCTCCACCCTTCTTTTTTGGCCCGTTTCTTGTCTATCATTCCACGTTAAACACATTCGCAATGAAGTCTTCAGTCTGTATTTTAACTGCCGTCATGGCTACTCTTGCCGTTGCTGCCCCAGCGACAGAGGCTTCAGATATAGAAAAGCGTGCTGTTCCAACAGTATGGTTAGCTGGTGATTCGACAATGGCTTTGGGCGGTGGTGGTGGAGTCACACAAGGTAAGTTCATCTCTGCAGTTTTGATTGGAAGCAATTTCTATATAAGTTCGCATCTAATAGCATTTAGGATGGGGTGTCTACCTCCCATACTCTCTTACTGGTGTCAAAGTTGTCAACAAAGCAATTGGTGGACGATCAGTACGCTCCTTTACAGACGAAGATCGCTTCGATGCCATAGCCAAAGATGTTGTAGCGGGGGACATCGTTATCATGGAATTTGGACACAATGATGGAGGATCTCTTACCCCAACCGACAACGGGAGAACTGCTTGCGTTGGAGCTGGCTCGGAAACATGTACAACAGCCGCTGGCATTGTTGTCCAAACCTACCCAACATATCTCACCAACGCCGCCAAATTAATGACCGCAAAAGGAGCCAAAGTCATAATCTGCTCTCCAACACCAAACAACGTTTGCGAGGGTGGGACTTGTTCTTACAGCGCCCCTAGATTTACCGAATATGGTAGAATTGCAGTGAAAAATGTTGGCAGTGCAGCTTCGTTCGTTGACCACGGTCTTTATGTTGCGAACAGATATATTGCCTTGGGAGCTGCTGCTACCAATGCTTTTTACCCAACCGACCACACGCATACTAGTCCTGCTGGAGCAGATTCGGTCGCTGGTCAGTTCGTCAAGGCTCTAGTGTGTTCCAAAAACCCTTTTTTGGCTGCATATGTCAAGAACTCTACCATTGTTGGAACATGTGCTTAGAGATTTAGTCTGGGAGAAGATGGGAGGAGATGAGAGAAGATGGATGGAGTAGAAATCCGGCAGACTTCTGCACATTCTTTATATATATTTTGGCTGCGTCTTGTTCATAAGAGTGTTGTACATATTTTGTCTTCTGTACTGTACATACTGGAATTGATATATAGCAGGATTTATAGTGAATGAGGATGAAGGCTTAGTAAGCTACGGTGGGATATATGGGTCCCAATACACTGACGCCCCGGCGTCAGTGGAGAGCTGACTAAGCGCGGGTTTTCACGCCCCCCCACCATCCACGAACACTCTACTTATACCTATAATTAATACATGCTTAACAAAATAACATATAATAAATCCTACAATATATATCGCTCCGAGTCTCGCGCATACTCCTCCTCAAGTCTAGCCCATATATCCCTACTCCTATTCTCAGTATTCCTATTCCTATTCCTAATAAACTCTGATTCAAGCATATTATACTCATCTTGCTCCTTCTTTTCCTCGTTATCTAGCCATGCTATAATCTCCTCATTTGTCCAGTCAGCTTTATTTGTAATAATAGTACCTGTAAGATCACGCCGCTCCCTAGGCATATAAAATACCTGCTCTTTTAAAATTTTCGGCCTTGGTGTTTTCCATTTTCGGGCCTTGCGATATTCTGCTGGCCGTATAGTAGGATGCTGGGCTAGCCAGGCTGTTTTTTCAGCTAGGTAGGCCAGAATTAAGACTTCTGGCCGATCTGGTGAAAGCTGCTTAGGTACAGTTGGTGCTAGAGATGCTAAAGGTGCTGATGCTAGAGGTGCTGAAGGTGCTGTAGGTGATGTGGATAATGTGGGTGATGTTGGCACTGTATCTAATTCAAGGAGAATCTGGCTTTGAGCAGCAATTGATGCTTGTAGTTTCAACGGGCAGCTACGGCTACTCATTGTGTGGCCTTGCCTGTGGCATGCAGAGCATTTAGGTAATTGCTTTGCTTTTTCTCCCCTTTTGAGAGAATGCGGCCTGTGTGAGCAACCTCTGCGTTTGATATACGCTGTCTACCAGCCCATAGAGGGTTAAGTAGTGGCTGTATAGTGCTTTTACGGTCCCAGTACCAGTGCTCATGAAAGTCTGATGGAGTAAGCCCAGTAGTGTCCTTCTTTATCTCGCATATATGTGCACAAGGCAAGCCCATTGCCCGGGTAAAAGCACCAGTAAAGGGCAGTAGTGGCCGAGAAACAGTCTCTTGATGTCGTTGTACAAGTCGTAGTGCACACCAAGTGACTACCCCAAAACAGCCTTGATATAGTGTGAGAGGCCAGACCTCGAACAACTCAAAGGTGAGGTTTCGAATGTTCAATTAAGAAGTGCGTGAAGACTACATACATGCAATCTCTTCCTCTATATATAGAGAGAGGAAGAGTTTCTGGAGTCTTCCAAGAAACTGTTTGACAAATACGTAACGTCAAAAGAATAGAGTAGAAAAGTGTAGAAAAGGAGAAACCAATTTAGCAGTGGAGCAATGGCCAATGCTGAGCGGGGACTTTGGTCAGTGCTTAGCGAGGGCATGGCCCGAGCCTCCATCATGGGTTCCAACCCTCACATATAGCTTCTTGTCTATATCAAGTGGTGCGCGGTCCTGTAACATACTTATACGAGTTGATACAGCTGTAATTTGGTTGATTACAGCTGCTTCAATAAGTAGCCATGATGAATAGAGGTCCCCCTTGGTTTTTTTGCCCCCTAGGTAGCGCTTAATATATGCATGAGCTCCTTCAGCACGGGAGGTTACTCGTATACCGAAGTGTAAGTATTGATTTGTCCAAGCCTCAACTAAACGCTCCTTTTGACCAGGTTTTAGCCACTCGTTTTGTAGGTATGCCACACACTGTTGAGTCTTAGGGTTTGAGTATTGAGTCTGAAACTCAAGCCAGCGCTTATCAAATTGCTCAATTGTCTGTGCTTGAATAACTATACGCCAGGCAGCCTCAAAAGCCTTCCAATCCTCTTCCCCGACTACATTCTTACATTTAGCAAGTACACATTGGTTTACATGCCAAATACAGAGTAGTGTAGGGGCGTGCGGAAACACCTCTTCTGACGCATTCTTTTGAGCCTGGTCACCGTCTATAACTATAGCTCCAGGGTTAATTCCAAGCTCTTGAAAACATTGGAATCCCCATATAAAGTCTTGCTGTGTTTCACCGGGAAGGAAGCAAAATCCAATTGAGAACGTTAATCCAGAGCTTGTAACACCTATGAATACTTAGTATTATAAGCGTACAAATAAGTCAAAAGCGGTACTTACCAATCATATGTAAGAGTGGCATCTGAAACTTATTTGTCTTATATGTATTATCAACTAATACAACATCTTGATTAGTCTGTGCAAGCTGAATTGACTGTGGATATGCAATGAAGAGGTGTTGTGTCCGGTTCTCTGACGTGACATTGATTTTGAAGTGTATTTTGTTATCTGTAAGGTGCTGAATAAGGGCGTCGTTTGGAGAGAGTCCATGTCTTTGCTCTCTTTTAAAAGAGGCATTCAGGTTATATATGTCGTACGGTTGAAGTGGGGTAATAGTTATCTGGCGAAGGTATGTAATTGCTTGGCTTGGCTTAATCCCTAAATATATATTAGACTTAAATTATTTCAAGTTACTTTCTATCTTACCTGCATTGTGTAAAGATCTAGCCTGATTTATCTCTGCTTGTGCTAGCTTCCGGTGTGCTGGATGAGAGCTAACTGATTGACTTGGAAGGTGGTTATGTAGACTATACTCTACGCCAGGCCTATAGCGTAACTCCCATTGAGAATTTATACATTCAAGCGCTACTATTGAGAACTGGCAGCCAGTTTTTCGAGTAGTTGTCTGTCGCTTACGTGCTTGTAAATGCTGTTGCGGATGTTTTTCGGATGGTGGTAGGCCGTAACGGTCGCAATTATACGTGATCTTCGTCCTAGGACCGCCATGGATCTTTGTTGACCGTCCAATACGAAAAGCATAGCAATGATGTGCTGCCCAGGCTTGAATTGAAGTATATAGCTCTTCTTTAGAGCTATATATAGCCTCTGGAGGCAGTGGCATAGACGTATGAGGGGTGGCATCTGCTGACGCTGGCTCAAGTGGTTGCTCAGGTGAATGTAAGGGCAGTGGCGACAGCGAGAGTTGAACGTCCATTTTCGCTATGTAGCTATGTCAGGCGTGCATTGATTACAGTCCAAAGTACAGTGCTGGTAGATGTAAATGCGACGCGCGCGCATTTCGGTGGTGGGGGGGCGTGAAAACCCGCGCTTAGTCAGCTCTAAACTGACGCCGGGGCGTCAGTGTATTGGGACCCGGGATATATATCCCACCCCACTACTGCCACATGCCTTCAAAACCACCACAATATCCACCATATCGTTAGCTTTTGTGAGCTCTTTTGTCCTACCCACGTTCCCCTCGCTAGCAGGCTCACCTGGCGATTTGGGAGGGTTTTGGACCTTTGTTTAGTCAAAACTACCTCCGCAAGGGGTGCGTAGCCGAGGGTGCTTATGCTTCGCTTTCCACTTATATATGTGGGCGAACTATAAGCACTTGAAGCTAGCCAGCAATACAAAAGAAAACTGATAATAAGCCTCATTTGATGTGACGTGTACCGACTGACGATTGAACATATATCTGGGTAAAATTACTAAATCACCATTAGGGAGGAGTGATAAACCACCCCAGAAGTTTCGCTGTCATCGTTTTTTGGTTCTGTATGTTCTATCCTCTCCCTGAATCACGACTGAATGATGGCAATAAGTATTATGGCAAATTTCTTATTCCGGCATGTACAACTACATCGACATCGCTGTGAGAACACTACTTTCACTTGACGGTGCATAACGAGTATTCTCAGGAGTGACATGCCCCGTATATCGTTGGTTCAAGGCACGTTCATATTCTGCAATCCCCTACAGATGGTTAGAACTGGAAAGCAAGAGTTATACGGTCTACTCACTTGATCGCGAATTCTCTCCTCTCTAAGCCAAGTTCTCCATTCGTTAAACCAACGCTGGCTGAAAAGCTCACAGAGTGCACATTCTTTCTTGTAAATACGGATCAATTCGTCCATTTTGACTTTCAGCCCTATGTGAAACTCGGGATCAGGGGTGACATCGTATGGCTTAAATGCTCGTCCGTTGCCAGTCTGGCGAGTCGCCCTGATGGTTTCGAAAAGGGCATTTACTTCATTACGGGCTTCGATTGCTCTGTCAAGGATGGTCTTTGTACGTTCAAATATCTCGTTGCAGTTGGTATTTCGTGCAGTGTTTTTGGTCAGCGGATACTCCGTATCGAGATTTTGGACTAGGTGTGTTCTCCGCCAATTAATCAGCACCCAACAGTGATAGTCCAATGGAAGAAGAAGTTTTTTTTGAGGAGGGAGGAGGGGNGGGGGGGGAGGATTCAACTTTGTCTCAATCGTTAACATTCCCAAGCAGTTGTTGAGAAATTGTTCTCTATCCTAGATTAAAGGGAGGTAGCCAGCATTATAAACCCTTCTAAACCAGCAATTTGCTACGCGAATTTTCTCTGGGGAATCTGCCCCTTTGCCATGAGTCCATGACCACCTGGAAAAATCATGTGTAAGTCCTTGACGAGCAGGGAAACAAACCAGAGCCCGGTCATGCGTAATATTGGCTATTATTTCACATGATGAAACTTACTTCTCTTCTGTCAAGACCTCTGGGAAAAGAGTTCTGATGGAGCTCAGGGAGTTAACTCAATATTGATACACTACCTCCCGACACAACTCGCAGGCTGCCACCAAATTGGCAATCTAATACAAAACAGAGATGGCAATGTTTCCAGCGTCAAGAGCTACCTTTGCCGACGTATTCGAAGCTTCTTGTTTCCAAACGCGTTTCTGAACTGGTAAGTCAAGACGAGTCTTTCTAGGTACTCTCTTCGCCAGTATTTCCACCGTTGCCATGGCATTCTTTTGTTTGGGAAATCATTTGATCATGGGAGGATATTTTCCCAGTGATATCTCCGTCTTCCTTGTGCTCTAGTACTTCAACTTGACCATGAGATCCCTCAGTGTTGACCGATTTGGAGTCTTCCATGTCATCTTCCTCTGGCCCCGGAGTCGTCGGTATCGTAGAGCAAGTACTCCTCATCCAATTTTGAATCACTCTCTTTTGATCCCTTCTCGTATTGGGGAGTCTCTTGAATAGACGTCTCGTTATCCTCTAAAAGTGCTCCCACCGAGCCAGGGGGGGGTTCGGTAACATTTCTTGACGAGGAAGTGCCGGAAGTGCCCATGCGTTTATCCACGCCGTCAATAATCTGCATATTCATTAGAATTATTCACGGTATTGGGGATTACTGACTTGATTAATCTTGTCAGAAAAATTGTTTTCGAATTCCATTTTGATGACCGCTTTCATGCAATCGTCCCAGTGCTCAGTGAATTTCATGCTATCATCGTATGATTCACTCAATTTCTCACGAGTATTATCGATTAAAGACAAAAGTACGCGAGTCTGGTCCCCTTGGGGATCCACCCTTTGGGCCTCAAGGTTCCCATCATAATGGACGGGAAGCCAGGACCTTCTAACCTCGACCAATCTGTTGATCTCTTCAAGCCATTCGCCATCCACCTTGATTGCCTCCACTACGCCTTGCACAACTACTCGATCAATGAACTTTGTACAATCCATGTCCAGGAGATCAGACCCAGAAATATCAAATTTCTCGGACATCTTTTCGGACATTTTATTTGTGCTTGGTTTATATTTTCGAAGACTCCTTTTGTATGACCTGCAGTAATCTTCCTGGAAATTGATGACTTCAAGCCAGGCTTTGACTTACTTATGTTACGAGACTCGAACAAACCGAGAAGCGTTTAGTAAAAGTCAAACTCTATAAGCAGATAATAGATATTGGGGTGCGAAACAAACGGAAATGCACTACTGATTCGTTATTGACCCTCTGGGAACTCGGTGGCAGGGATTCTCGTATACTTACGAAAATTTCGTACACAGGCCTAATTAGGTAATTAAAAGTAGAAATCTAGGTACTATAAAGTAGACGTCTCTAATTTTCGGATTTTATACTTTATAATCCCCTACTAAGCGAAGATTAGTAATAAAGGATTAGTAATTAATCTACCTTTATTTATTACTTCTATAAATACAAAGTCCCCTTCTATCTCTCTATTCTAATTACTATAAGTTAATATTTAAGAGAAATATATATATATATAATTAATAGGAAAACTATCTATAAAGTGTAGATTTTATAACTCTATAAGAATACTCCTTTTTACCCCTAATTTCTTTTCAACTATAGACCTTAGAAGCCTCTTAAGAGTATCTTATAGTTTAATATTTAGTTATGTATCTCTATAAAGGGAGTATTACTCTAATTATTCCTTTAAATATAGAATATAAAGTATTTCTCTTATTATATTACCTAGCTTTCTTTCTCTTGAAATCTAATAATAGTTATATAGTTATATTATATTCCTAGCTAAGACTATACCTAATATATCTACGTAAGTAGGGTTATTAGTACTTACTAGTAGAACCTAAGCCTATAGTACAATATATAGAGCTAGCTATATAATATCTATATACTAACTATAAGTATAGGCTTCTCTTTATTATTATTATTCCCTAGTAGAATAATCTTTATCTAACTATATATACTTAATATCTAGTATTCTAGTATCTAATTAATATAATTTTTATATAAGAAGCTAAAGGAATAAGTCTAAGTACTGCGACGGAGCTGGATTTCATTTGACAGGATTTCATTCGCTTGGCCAAGCACGTGACGAGACTTGGCATTGGAACAACTTAAATAACTTCGCTCCTTTCAGATTCTCTTCTCTCTTTAGTTTGATTTCTTCGTACCTACGGTTTTAGTTCTAGCAATTGATTCAAAAGCTGTATACACTTTATCCTTTGTTGGCATCCGTGACAAGTACATATATTTTTATAGTCTAGGAATTATAGTTATTAGTAGAATATTTTCCTACTTTATTTAATATTCTAAAAGAAGTTTAAGGTTTACTAAGATAACTAGAGTTATATTACATTACTTTGTTGTAGTCGCACCTTTGGAGAAAGGTATTGATATCATGGTCAAACTTTGCCCATAGAAAGATATTGAAGTACGTTTCTGGAATAAGGATCGTAGGACCGCCATTTAGCGTCTTGTTCGGCCATCAAGCCTCTCGTTACAGTTTTAAGGTTTTCGATGAGTTTTTTGAGCGTCTCCTCCTGTTGAGCTGTAGCTTGTTTGAGAGCATCGTCCACGGCTTCGTAAATCTCTTGACAGTTTGTGGAGGGGACATCTCGTCTATCAATTTCCCCAAGGAGATCCAAAGGTGTTGGCGTCAAGGAATCCGGTGAGATATCTGCAAAATTGGTACCCTTATTGTGTTGTTAGAACAATCTTCAAATGGAGGTTTAATTCTTTCTTTTTTCTTGTTCTTTTTTGGAAAGCAGGGCGAATGTTTACTTACGGTTGAAGTGTTGATGTGGAAGTTCATGGCCATGATTGTTAGCACAGGCTTTTTGGATTGCTTGATTTAATTTAGATATTGTTGCAAAGGGCCCAGCTGATTTAGGGGATTGCTGTTTGGTGCTTAGGATAATTAACATTTGCCAGCTATGGAAACCCCCAAGGCTAATTACTCTTCGAGATAAAGCACTCAATCAGTCCAGTCCTCTATGCGCTTGCAACTATTGTATTCAAGTATCATGTGCATGATACCAGGAACCAGAGGAACAAACGACACTACGGACGCACGTTCCAGACGTCTTTCTTTGCTTAATTCTCAATTTCTGGAAGAAAGTCATCTCTGATCAGGATTGCGACACACATGTCCTTGAAGTATCGTGGCTGAGGATCTGACCCTACTCTCCGTAACACTAGGTAAACAAAGCAGTTTTGAACCACTCCCAAGTCCACTCTTTCTTTCTAACTTACGTGGCAGAGTTCTGAGCCGCCCACATAAATTTCTCGTTACGGATCTGGGCCTTGCAGGGATTTCGTGTTTCTCATGATGCAGATTCTTTGAAATGTCTAAGTTCTGGCGGCAAATGAACGCTCTAAGAAACAATCAAACATAGTATTCGGTGAGACATACATGAAATCAATGTATTTCGACAAAAACATCACCAAGACCGATTATTTAGGCATCAATTCTACCGATAACTTTGAACCCAGCTTTCCGTTGGGTCGACCTTGTTGGCCATCGAATTTGAACCCTCCGTTTAGCTTTCCTTCTACCAGAATTCATGTGAGGATCTTCAATGAACGTCTTAACCTCCGACTTCCTGTTTATCCTCATCTTATCCGCATGCGAAGGTGGCAGAATCTCGTAAAATGCTTCTTCCACTTTCCAATTCTCACTAGCAGATGTCTCACAGAATTTACAATTCAGTTTGTCTGCGAGTGATCTACCTTCTTGGCTTGAAACCTGCCTCAGCGTCTCTTTATCGGATTTGTTGGCAACCAATACAACTCGAGGTAAGTGATCAGGTTTGTCGTTCAATGGCTCGTTTTCTTTGGTGAAATAGCGATTCCGTCCTTTCATTCGGAGGATCTGGTCGTATAGGTACCGAACATACTTAAAAGATTCTCTGTCTGTGATGGAATATAATAGCATAAACCCTTCTCCATCCTGGATTTCTTGGCCACTCGATTCTACGGGGGGAGAATCTAGAACTTGCAGGTTTGCCGAAAGACCATCAATATTTATAGTTCTTTGATAGATGTTATCGGCTTTTGGTATGTAGAAATCGACAAAAAGGCTGTGACAAAACTGTAAACGCCGTTAGCTCCGTAAGCACGAAGGAGAATGAGAATGAAGTTACCTGAATTGCAATTGTCGTCTTCCCAACATAATGATGTCCTAGTATAGAGATCTTGAATAGTGGTTGTTGGCTTTCAGACAGGACTGACTCAGACGATGCAATGAGTGGGGGTGGGCGTTTTGGAATATGAGTTATTTGAGTCAGTTCACTGCTACGAATCGCTATTAATCCACCACTTGTATCTTTATTCAAATGATAAAGACTTTCAGGTTTGGCGGGAGAGTTGGTAAAGTAGGTTAAGGCTTTCTCATCAGGTTGACGTTCCAAGCATCTGTCTTCAACTTCTAGTCGAATTCGCGGGTCTAGAATGGAAGTGCCCAACTTATCAAACGGCCTCCTAGATCCTGAGAAGGTATTTTTGGTCGTAGGTCGTGGTGTAGACGATTCACGGTACAGGCTCAGAGGTTTGTTCCATTCAGACTCATTTCCCAAAATTTGGCAGGGCCTGACTTCGTTTGTTCTAGATTGGGGATCTATCTCAAAAGCTGGTGCAATAGGAAAGCCGAAATCGAAAGAACTCAGCGCGGAAAATGCTGGTTGGGTCTCGTTGCCTTCATTTGATATGTCGATTATATCTTGACCTTCTTCTACAAAGTTTTCAAAAATCTCCATACTTCTGTCAGGTGGCACAGGCCGCGAGGCTTCAATGTCTTCGATAGCAATTCCTGGTTGCTGTAAATACAAATCGGGTTGTCCTGTCCCTTGTTCGTCATTAAAGAGAGCACCGCTAGCAGGAAAGGATACCGCTTCAACATTCATAACATGCAGTGCTGATTCCAGAAACCCTCCGGTGGGAATCGATCTCGTTAGTGGAGTTTGAGCTACCTCTATTCGATAATGCTTGTAATTGTAGATCTCGTCAGCATGCACAGGCAAAGCTATTGCTGACATACTCGAAACTTGAGACAGACTCAATCCCGAGAATATTGACCACGCATGTGTCCTAACTGCAGAAGAGGAGAAAGAAGCATCCGAAGTATAGGGCTGGGTGCGTTTGTAAACCCTGGACCTATCCAAATCTGACTCAAATGAAAAGTGGAAATCTTCTGGTTGAAAAACGCCAAACGACTCTTCAGACTGCAGCCGATCTACACCGATGTCCTCCCTGATTGTGTCTGCTGTACTGCTGTCGTCTTCAATGCCTCTGTTATTTCGGAAGCATGTTGTCAAAACACTTTCTGAGTCATATGTAACCTCGAGTTGGTGTAAACGATCCAATATGTCGTAATTGCTTTGTAGCAGAGTCCGGATAACATCGTGAAGTTGCTCGCGAGACCTTTCTGCCTCCATATCCGTTGCGCTACGAAGGTCAGCGTTGATGAGAAAGAAGTTTGAGTAAAAGTAAGCTCAGTATACATACCACTGTATTATATTCAACATTAGTGAGAACGAGAATTTATGTCGGTCAAGTCTAATCATAATGCTCGAGATATTCTCTTCTTTCCATGCCATCTCCATTCGTTGACGAATTGAGATTTCTGACGGATCGCCAAGCGGCATAATCAAGGACTCCAGCTCCGAGAATGTCAAAACCGCTTCCGTTAACGTAGCAACAAGTTGATCCACTTGTATCATTGAGCTTCGCTTTGCAGGTGCCAAATACATCCCCGTCAGTAATTGATTGACTGCCGCAAGACATCTCTCAAGGTCGTTGACTTGTGATAGAAGATTACCCAGCGACTTGGGGGCATCAACGAGGCTGGTTTTCACCTTGTATAAAACGCCTACTATTTTCGCAGCTCCAGACAAAAGGCCCACCACTGAGGCCGTAACACTTAGGGGATCCATAGTCAATATGGAGGAAGGAAACAACTTTAGACATCAAGAAGAAGAAATATTCTCAAAAACGATGTCAACATCTTTTTGCAGCCTCGTTTGCTGGGGAGCCTCGCCTCTGAATCTGTAAAAACGGCAGCGTAGTACATCCACGTATGCTCAGCCGAGTCAGCCCCTGGAAAACGCCCAAAGGGCTGGCGCTTACTACAGTGCTACCTTTCGTCCCGAATAAGCCAAGAATTATACGCTGAATTTATCGTCCATGAGTCACAGCATATACGAGGCTTATTGTTGAATTCTTATATTGCTGGCTGGCTTTAAATGCTTGGACTTCTCGTACATTATATACCAATCAGAAGGTTCCATTTAGTGAATACTCAAGTATTAGCATCCTGGGCCACGCTCCCTGGAAAGGGGCATCTAACTAAAGGCGAGAGTATCTCGAGGGGTATGAGGGCGGGACAAAAGAGCCCAGGACCGTGCGATATGGACGATATTTGTGGTGTTATTGTTTGAGGAGTCTATTCAAGTGTGGGATATTTATCCCACCGAGTTGCTTAGTAAGCACTTTTCCACTCGCAATAAACAACTGCTACAGTAGATAAACATCGTCATTGCACTTACTATTGCTAACAGCTTGAATTTTGAACCCTGCATTTGCAGCAATTCGCTCTTTGAGTATCGTGGAAACAGAAATCAATTGCCCCCAAACAAATGAACCCCAACGGCAATCTTGAGTTCAACTCGTTGACCACCTTTCACTCCACTCTTTCTAGAAATCAAAATCCGACCGACAGAGGAGCTGCTTATACCGAAAAAACAGAAGTTCTACTGAAATATCATAACGAGCGAACAGATGGGTTCATACTCACCTACACTTGTAAGTATCTGGCCGAACAGAATATCATGTTTGCGCTATCAACAACCGATGAGAACCGTAAGAGAACAAAATCTCGAGAGTGGGAAAACATCACAAAGATATTCCGGGTGACCGGGTCGTTGAAGGGTTGAAGCTTGTTTCAAAGCTCGGTGAGCGGAAAGTGGGCCCCAAAGGCTTATTACGTGGATGCTCACCGGGGTATCAAGGGGTTCTATTATTTCCGCTGTGCTGTTCAGCACTTTCTGTACTGCGTAGAAGTCTATTTTTAGCATCTCTGTAATCTTTCATATATGAGCATGAAACCTATAAAATGTTCACTTCGGTAAGTCGACTTGTCACTTCGTATTCACAACCGTCCCCTTTTAGGGCCGTATCCGTACTCGCTTTCCGTATTCTCGCAAGGTTGATTGGATTTCGGCGTACAGGTATCTGACGGGAACGCGCGGAGGGTACTTCGAAGTAAAATTGTTTGCCGGCAGTAAGCAAGATCATCATAGGGTTTTCACGTATGGATGGTGGTACAAACGTTCCCACATTCTCTCAATTCTTCCTTGAGTTAGACCATTCTCCTGGTCTCCATTTTCGTCCTCCCAACGCTAAGAAGACATGTTCCCGTAGTGCTCCGGAATAATTGCCGTCACTCGAAAAGAGTACAACACGAGAATCGGGATATGATGCGCACTTTCCCATTGTTGGCGGAGTTGGGATGTATGGTTCTTGTACAAGTGATTCTTCTAAGAATGCAGCATTTCCATCAGCGCAGTCCTCACATGCATCTGCTATCATCGTTCGAAAAATTCCTTATTGCGACTACTTTTTGGGCCACAATCAATATCTTCGGTCGTCTCTTTCGCTTTGTTGTCCAGACTGTGGATTCGGTTGCCCCCTCTGTCACTTCCAGGAAAATCGAATATCAACCCCTCGAGCATTCGAAATATGCTGACCAATTTGGTTCCGGATCTCTGCTATTTAAAATCATGGCTACTTGTCTGATACACCAGGCAGTGAACTTCTGCTTGGATATTATTGTACCGCTCTGGGAAGAATTCAATCGTGATGGAGAAAGGGTGCAGCGGAGGGTCCAAGCGCGGGTTTCTCAGTCGTTTGGAGGATTTCGGGAGCTCAATAAGAGACTGAGAAAGAGAGATACATATGAAGGGGATCTGAAAATTCAAAAAGAGCCAAACGTGTCTGCAACCACACAGTTGATTAGTTTCGAGAGACACAAAGTCGAGGACCAAAAAGAAATGACACTCGATTGGGACATTGTCGTAGAGAAGGGTGCATTGGATGAGATGAAAGAAACTCTTGGACCACCAGGAGGATTTGGCGAGTTGGGATTTGTGGTTGAGCAAGATGGGGTGTCTTTCCAGGCGATGGGCGTTGGAACGAAATTCAACTTGAGGTTCTCAGTTCGTAGGAAGCCAGGCGTGCAGGTATCTAGAAAAATAATATGACTGCATATTAACACTATCAGATCTGAGTACTATGGCTTTATTCTTCGAAGGGCTGGATCTCCATATTTGACAAGCTCCGTGTGTGGGAGATCCCTGAGCCGTGAAACAATTATTGCCGTATATATCCTGCTGTTAGGACTCGGAAGTTATAGAATATAAATGATAAATCGTAGACGTAAAAGCAGTATATTCATTAATTCATGAATAGCCGAAACGTCCTCCAGCAGATCTAAGTTCCACACTCCATAGCGATATCGCGTGGAATAACTATGCTCGCAACACTCTAAAAGCCCCAAAGTCCTTCTCGTTCCGCCTTCGAACATTATAGAGATGCGTTCTCCTCGGCTGAGTCTTTGCAGATCGATAGACTTGAGATTTGTAAGTTCATTTGACTTATTTGTTATCTGAAATGTCGTTATTTCTCCTAAGAACCCGGAGAAGACTTTAGAAGCAATTATTAGCTAGTACTAGGCACCCTTGTTAGAGATCGCAAGTCCCTATATTAGAGGTGAGAATCAGTGACTTTGGGATTATATAATTCAAGCTGCCTACCTTAATAAGTTAATTGTTTTCAACTAACTTACTATATAATATATTATAGAATTATAATGGAGCCTATATATAGCGTCGAGATAAGGCTAATACGGTAGAGGCGTGTTATAGTATTTATAAATGCGTATTAAGTGAGAAATAGTAGCATTGAACTTATACTCATCCTAATCCTAGACTTGCATTCTACTAAGAAGGTTTATAAACTCGAAAATATCAACAGTAATAACTCACATATAATCTAATAAGCAATGACAATGTTCATTTTCTGCCCTATAACTAACATAGAGAAATCAGAGGTAAAAATAGTAACAGTTCACATGAATTCGGAGTGTTGCTATTCGCGTAAGTAATTTCTTTTCCTTTTCTCGAGGTGTGACGACACGTACGATGTGTTGCTCAAGGAGCCTCCAAGGTGTAGGTTATGGAATCGTAGAACTGTCTATTCGAAGATTCTAAGCTGAAGAGAGAAGAGAAAGAAAGGACAGAAGCCCAGGAGCTGGAAGCTCTTATATACCGGAGGTGTGCCAAGCCATAGCTAACCGAGCCGGGCTCGGGAAGCACGGGGCACGCCGGGTGCCAGCCAGGGGCTGGTTTGAGGCATGGTGGCGGTAAGAACCGTCACACGAGGAGTACATTAAATGGAAGAAAGTAATTAAAAGCTAAGCTAATTCGAAGAAATCTAAACAAAGCATACAGAACTTTGTTCCGTTTACTATTTAAAGCAAAAAGATTCAGCAATATTAGAATTAAGCAGCATTGATATATAGTATAGCAGTAAGAATATAAAGCTTATTCTATTACCCCAACCTTTTAGAGTAAAGCTGTTTTAGTAAAAGTAGTTATAGAAGCTTCTTGTCTCTACGTAGCAATCTAATCTAAAATGAAAGTAAGAAAAACCTGGTAAAACAAACAAAAAAGCCTTAGAACCTGAAATTCGCGTAATGTTGAAAAGTAAACAACCTCAAAAGACAGTAAGAATACCTAGTGTCTGAAGAGCAATTTACAGTAAAATCGTATGTGTTTTAATCAAGTTCCTAAATGCACAAGCTAAAATGTCAGTAGGTGAATATTCCTGTAGGTGAAGCTCAAACTTGGCGAACTGTGTTAAGTGAAGAAAAGGGGCGCACGTCCATGCACTAAGCGAAGAGCAATATATTCAAAATTTCAACCCACCAAGTCTGCTCTCTCTCTGCTCTCTCTCTGCTCTCTCCAGAGATAAAACATCTACCACAACGATCAAGATGCAGTACATCTGCATCAACATCAACTCGAACAGACCACCACCTCCTCCTCCACCACCCGAGGCGCTTCTGCCTCCCACGCCGGCCGTGGTCGCCTGGGATCCCAGAGCGAGGGTGGTTTCCTTTCTCGCGACCTCGCACTGCTCCTCTTCTTCCAAACCCACACCTCTCTCGTCTTCCTCGACTCCCACACTCTCTGCATATCGCAGAGAGTGCTTTGCGCATCGCGGTCCTCGGACCAAACTCTCCAGTCCGTACTCCCGCCTATTATGCGCCCACGCATTTTGCAGAGGCATTTGAAGAGAACTTTTGGACGAACTGGTTTTATTGGAGGACAATATTCGCTGAGGCGATGTAGTCCCTAGCGAAACAGCAATTAGAGATACAAACAGAAAGAAGAATTCTTCTACCTTCGTCGCTCTGGTTTCTGACCGGCCCAACTATTGGTACCCCTGGCATTGCCTCATGGGGTCAGTTGGTGTCTGTGATGGACTATGGTGGCAAGGCGGGTTCCTCTATGCTTAAAAGAGGCAAGCGACGGCAGACAATCATCAAGCCGCACAACTTCCTGCTGAGGAAGAATATCATAGTTATGTACAGCGGTTATTTGAGGCTATGATGTGCACCGATGCTGTGTCTGGGGTGGGCTGGAGTGACAAGGCAGATTCTTTTTAAGTTTTTACATTGGCTTTACTAGAGGCAAAAGAAAGGCCGCTGAAGCTCCAAATCCACAGAACGGAACTCTGAGGAAATATTTCAAGACTTATGATGTTGAGGCTGTGGATAACAATAAACCCACCGTTTGTCGAGGCTCAACAATCGATCTTGCGAGACCAGAACTGGAAAGAGAAAAACGAATGCTGCGCCAGAGTCCGACGACGCCAAAGACGCACTCAGCGGCAGAGGTTCTACACGTACACTATTTGATTGGCAGAAGACACGTCTACCACCAACCAAGTCTTTGCGACGCCATTACAAGTTGTTGTGCTGGGTCTACTTTCTCTTTTGCTCCACTTCCTGATTTGATCCACTTATAGCTCTGCTGCCTAAATGCTTCATGTCTGCCTAAACCTTACACTCTTTATATAAACACCTTAGATAGCTACCTTTTACAATGCAATCAATTCTCCATGACCTTCAGTACCCAATACCCTTTCAACCCAATACAAGTCTATTCTTCCAAGTGGTTTATCTCGCGCAAGCCAGTACATTCTTTGAGACAAGACGTTGGTGCTTCTCCAATGTGTCAGACTCCGATCGTACTTCCAGCCTCGCACTCAATGACAAAATTCACTCGGCGGCTTCGCAGAGCCAAGATATTATTCCTGTTTTGTTGTCGTGCGAGATAGACAAAGATATTGATGATACTTCTTGAACACAACCTTCAACGCACTTCCATCAATTTTCAGGTGCTTGAAGGTCGATGGATCTCCTGGTGGTTCTGTTCTGTATGTGGTATGTTTACCCGGAAGATGCAATGAAGACTGCAAGATAAGGCAATGAGGTAAGTCTTGCAAGTGTGCCAGACATTTGAGCCTCAAGGACTAACCATTGACCAGGTCTGAACAATGGAAGTCGACAAGATCTTATTGATTGCGAGGTGCTGCCGCCGTGGTATACTCGATAAGATGGTCGGTTCTCGGGAACAAAATCTAAGCGAAAACTTGACAAACGCGCCTTCTCCCCAATTGTGCCATTTGAATCAACCACTCGGACGTCAAGCGATGTGAATACTGTATCACAGGGCCAGTTATAGACAGGTGTTCGATCGCAATCCGACCGCTACTACTACGATTGACAGGATTCGAAAGGACATACACCCGATTCATCTCCTCGCTTGTGTAAATATTCGCTTTCTTGACAATGAGTACAATGGGCATATAGATGGTATCTCTGATTGCAATTGAGCCTTCTCGTTTACGGTCTATCTGGACGCACATCTTCCAGACGCTAGCAAATTTCAACGCTGCTATCATGATTGCTAGTGATAGAAATGTTGTCTCGCTAATACAACTCTAACCGATCCAGAAGAAGATCAAGCTATCAAAACATGTGAACGAGAACTATCTCCGAGCAAGAGGTCGAGAAGGGACTATTGTACAAATTTGTACGATCATCTGTGATGTCGCTTAACAAGGACGCTCATCGACCAGACAGCAGCCCAGAACTCGGAACACTTGTGTCACAAGTCAATAGCCTGAAGGTCAAGATAGTTGTCACACTGACTTTCCAAGCGATCTTTCCACTCACGGCAGCGAAGTTCAACGATGCGATTGCGCAGTCTCGCTCACAACCTATTTGGACATACATCGGACAGACGCTTGTCAAACCCTCGATGCTATTGTCTCGACAGCATGGAGCGGTTACGCGCTCGTACTTACGATCTATATATACGGGCCAAGGTAACCAAGGACAATCATTACACGAAGCTACGCGATTATCTGGGCATGTTGCTGAACAAGGGCACTCATAGACCATTTACCGGTCAAGACCTAAGCACAGCTGTCTTCGGAGCATGGAGTGTGCGTACTCTTACTCGCGATCCATCAGGACTCACAAAGTCCAGACGCTAGTCAAGACCTACGCACAATTTGCTCTGGGGTATGTAGCTTGAGTGCGAAGATGGGGCTGTCTCACTTGACCTTTCAAGCGAGGACAGACCACAACTTCCGAACCAAGAAGCACAATTCCTTGATCGAAGCAGTAATTGCCCAAATGTGCAACGAGGTCAATGTCAACTAATTTGAACGGTCCCTCATATACGCCATCTCTACTGGTCGTGCTACAACCAATTTGGCTCTGTAGGGAGAACCACTCAACAGAATCAACCCTAACGCCGCACCATTCACACCATCAAAGCTGTCCTGCCCCGGAGACCGCAACTGCGACCAATAAACCACTGCAGTTATCGTGGCCCATGCCCGACCGAACTTCACGGCAGAAACTCATAACACAACACACGCAGGATCACATGCCTCGCCCCACTTTACCAACAGCTCGCCAATCACGTACTCAGCATAGGATTCTGGTGTAACTTTACCATCGAACTCGGTGAAGACATGTGCACCTATATAAAACCGTACAAACTCTTGAATCTCCAGCTAACTTTCATGGCAGGATTCAAAATCCAACAGAGAAAGAAATTGACTTCCGAGAACACCGAACCCACTTCGAATCCCAACGATCGACTCCTGATTTCAAAAGCGAATATACGACGTCAACATATACATACAAGCGGTTGAATACAAGGACACACAGAGAATACTTGACAGCTTGGAATATAAGCTATGGAAGAGAAGAAGGCAAGCATCGAGAGCAAGTTGGGGGAGAATTCCAAGCAAATTGCGATTTCAAGGAGACGGTGGGACGTTCAAAATTAGAATGGATGAAGGAGGATATATACGAAAGGATTGCTAGAAAGGGTCCAAAAAAGTACTGCAAAATGTATCAACGAATTTCTGGAAGAGCTGTAAACTAGAATGGTACGGAACAGTACAATAGAAGGGATGGGAATGAAGATAAATAAGTGGGTACTTTCATATTACCAAAATAGAAAGTTTTGGTGTATAAAAGAGGTCTTGAAATCTTGTGACCAGACGAGAAACCAAATATATACGTAAGCGCGAAAGAATCTTCTTCAACTGAAGTAACTTGCTTCCATCAATCCACGCCTCTTAATAGTGGTATCTCAGAAACTTCCAAAGGCCTAGCAAACAAATCCTGTCCAGCGTCCTGGGGCTAAGAACACGAGACCAAGAATCCTGAGAGCCTATATATGTTATGGTGGGGATCAAGGATTAGATTGTTCGCAAGGAGGGAAGAGAGACGCTCTTCGCACTCCTCAGGTATTTGTCTATCTACGGAAGGGTACACCAGAGAATGAGG